AGAGTGGCCGAAACAGGCTTCCATACATTAATGACCAGGTTTATCATTCTGGGGAAGATTAAAATGTATAAAATTATTTCAAAGTGTGTGGGGTTGTTGTCTGTTCTGCAGACTGAAGCTTATATCTTATTTTTTTTTTGTTCTTGTTTTTTTACCAGCTTCGCAGCAAACTGCCGGAGCACGGACTTGGGGATTTAAAGCTGAGGTGGATAAAGCAGTCTGACGGAAAGACGTTCCACTTGAAGAAAAAAGACAAAAAATAAAAATCTGGGATTCTGTCAGGAAAAAGTTTAGATGAAAAAAATAGAAGGGTAGTTATTGTTTTAGGATATTTGATTTGATTACAAATAGTCTCTAAAGATAATCACTATTAATGCTAGTGACCTATACTTTTTAATGGTCTGATGTAGTGCTCTAATTTTACTGTAACAATGCTATAATCAATGTGTTTCAGTTAATGAACTAAATCACTTAAATAAACCTTTTGATAATCTTCTGATTAATTGAACAACCTCATTTAAAGTATAATTTGACTTAAGAGGCACTTCATGGTCGTATGATTTATTTGGCATTTACCTTTAACTGAAGAAAGACGAGAACTAGCAGGAATATTTGGTTGCATGGCAACAGGATATTAAACCAGACATTAAGCCACAGCTTGATGTTCCACTTTATGTAAAATAATTGGATTCAAGTTGTTGTTGCTCTGAGAGGTTTCAGATCTAAATTAGTTGCCAGATTCCTCTGTTCATTCATTTCCCACCTCTAGAGAAAAAAGGAGGAGAACCGGAAGTTTTTTGCTTCTTAGATTTGTTATTTTGTAAGATCTGTTCAATTGATTTCTACAGATTTCATAGTACTTATGGGGATAATCTGTTCTGTAAAGCATGGGAGCTAGATCAGAGCTCGTCTGCCTGGCTGTGTGTTTCCTGGACGGGGCCGCCTTTTGTTTCTCTGCTTCTGTCTCCTTGAACCCCAGTCGGCCTCAGCAGATGGTCGCTCACACTGAGCCCGGTTCTGCTGGAGGTTTCTTCCTGTTAAAAG